TGCATTTAATAAACACTCACTGAACTAAACTGAACTCTGTTCTCCTGCCCAAAACACTTCCATCAGCTCCCTGCTGAATAAAGTCCCAGTCCTCGTCCACGCCTTCATGAACTGGCCTTGCCCCCCACCCAAGGCCCCATCAGAGCGTCCAGTCACCAGCAGTTTATTCCCCAAAGTGCTTCCCCCTCACACACACCATTTTATATTTTCCTCAAAGCTTCATTCACATTGTTCACATCTCCACAGTTTCCAATTATCTAAATTCGCCGCACCCTCTTCATCATTTTCAACCCTGAGGTAAATACTTAAAACAAAGCCCACCAGGTCACAAAATGCACAGCAACACCCGCCCCCCACCCCAGCTAAGCATCCTCTCCGTGCCACAGGATCCTGTAGCCTCACCACTGCCCTCTCAGCCAGGGCACAGCGGGGACCCCCTTCCCCCAGGCACACAAGGAGCCGGCTGGGGGAAGCCATCTGGGAGGACGCCAGGACCGCCTGAGGGTGGTGAAGCCCTGTCCTTATTTACTTGTTTGAAATAATAAGCGGAAAGGAAAATAAAGTACTAACTGGACTTAATTTACAACGCTTCCTCCCTCAGAACTTCAAAGCCTCCCCAGCATGGGGCCGCTCACTCGGCGTGGCCTGCTCCGCATTGGCTACGCTGAAGTGAAAGTTGCCTCATCCTGTCCCCCAGAAACCCCCGAGAGGCCTGAGGACCAGATCATCTGAGGGTTTATTTTAAGCAAAGCATGTGACCCCATTACTGTGTAAAACTCGGCTATTAATATTGTGATAATGTCTTTTTATTAGGAAAAGGCATTAACAATGATATTTCTCCACCCACATACTTCAAAGAAAACCCACTCCAGAGATTTGATCTTGCATGATGTCAGCTACACTGTGCGTTCTGCTATCTTGGGACACATTATGACTGAGGTCCTCAGAGTCTCCGGGGAAAGCACGACAAAAACAAAAGTACATAGTGGAGCTGAGATTTTTAAATGCTAAATGGACAGAGCCCTCCTCTTTCACAGACATTTTTAAAAGGCAGTTTAGAGAACACTATATATACACGGGATGTTTGGTCTCAACCTGTGAATACCTTTGCCTTGGGAGCACGTCACCTCTGGTCAAAGAAGATCTCACAAAAGCAATTCCAAACTTGTGCCCATTACCCCCCGAACATTTCTTAGCCTTTGTGTCTGCAAGTAAAGAGTAAACAGCTCTCTTTATAAACACTCTGGCAAATGATCTGGGCCTAGTGGGCCCAGCAGATGTCATTCCTGTCACCCACTGCAAAGCCCTGTTGGGAAACAGGGCTAAATTATAACCTAAAACACTGCCAATATGGTGAGGAGAATATTTCCAGGCAGAATTTCTGAAGATGAATCCAAGCGGTTCCTTTCCAGAAGCACACAAGCGTGTAATGGGAAGGAGCCTGTGTGCAAAGCAGGGGGTGGGAGTGGCGAGGAGGCAGGAGTGGGTTAGGGGCAGGCACGGGAGAGGGAGAACTGAGATTAAAACACAGTAGTAATGAGCATGGCGCACTTAAAATAAGGTGACGATGCTGTCAGAGAATGGGTAATGGGCCAACAAGGATAATGAACCTAATTCTTCAGAAGACCTCCCCGCTGGGCCACTCAATGGCCCTAGGCCCTTAGATTTGTGCAGGATTTATGCTAAAGCAACCTCCCCACCCACTCGGAAACAGTACCACTGGTGACATCACCAAACCATGGGCAAAGGAATAAAACTGCACTGGATGAAAATTTAAATGTTTTAAAAACCATTTGCTTGAACTGCTTGTGGTCACAAAAAGGACGGACACACACACAAAAGGGTGAACACAAACACATATACACACGCACAGAGGTGGAAGGCCTCTCAAGGTGGCCAAATTTCCCTTTTCTCTCCTTAAACCTAAACATTTGACCTAAAAACTCCAAATTGTCTGTTCCTTCCAGGGGACTAAAACACGGCTCCAAAGCCAACCTTAAAAGAGCCATGAAAAGTCAAAGCCATGCTTTCTCGCATCACAGTCCCCACGAGAGAGTTCTTTTCTCAGTGTTTTGGTACGTGTTTACGGTGTGCAGTGATTACAGTCCTGGACATGACACATCTTCTCATCCCCTCTTCCCAGTCCCTCTATCTCTGGTTCATTTCCTTTTTGCAAAACATCTCCCTTTTTTCCATTATCTTTTATTTTGCTCTTTATTTATGCTTTGGGTTTCTCAAGTAAGAGAAATCAAGCAGCAGTTAAGCTTCTGTGTCTGATTTCTTGAACTTACATCCACTTTCCTATCAAGGATGCAAGTTTATCCTTCTTTATGGCAGAGTAGTAGTCCATTGTGTATAAATACCGTATTTTCTTTATCCATTCATACCACTTCCAAGATTGGCTATTACAAATTGTGCTGCTTTAAGCATAGGTATGCACATACCCTATGAGAGTGGTGACATGGATGCCCTCAACTCTGTGATACTGGGCTCTATGAGTGATATCTCTACTGACAGACGGGCTGTGGTGACTGGAACTCGGAAGTTTGGGACCATAGGTCAGACACTGTATGAAGAAAACACCGGGACAGCCAGTTCTCCTTCAAGCCCTCTGATCTGTCACTAACCTCAACTGAGCAGCTATGGTCACACACACTACCTCACACAGAGGCAGCAGGGTGGGAAGCACACACAGCCAGGCGGCCGCAGGCCCTGAACTTCTCCCAGCAGATGTCAGCAGATGAGGCAGGGAGAACACAAACTGTGCTCAGGGGCAGCTGCTGTTTTCCTGTCAGACCCCAAACACCCTCCCAACCTCTGCCTGCTTTTTGGAAGATCAGATTCCTTCTCACTTCCTTGTTAAAACTACTGTGCAGTTTGGAATCTGCTGACAGGTACTATTTAAATAAATGGCACATCCTGCCTGAGAAACAGGCCCACTTGGAAGTATAGGAACTACCCTTAACATTCTGTACAAAGAAACTACGCTCTCTGGCATACATGTTCCACATAAACTGTTGCGCTCCTTCTGTGTCATTGTGTCCAGGCCCTCGCAGCCGCACACCTAGACCAGGGCCATTTCCTTGCCACTGTCTTTCCACATTTCAGCCCACCCTCTACACCGCCACCTGATCAACCTCCAAAACTACTTACTTACATGATTGTTCCGCAACTTAGAAACCTCTGTTCTACCTGAACACACAGGATAAAAAGTAAAACTGAAATCTAGGTTTTACATTAAGACTGCTATGGCCTGAAGGTATATAATCCCCCAAAGTCCTGTGTTCAAATCCTAACTCCCAAAGTGATGGCATTAGGAAGCAGGGCCTCTGAGGCAGGATTAGATCTTGATGGCAAAGCCCTCAGGAGTAGGATTAGTGCCCTTAGGAAAGGGGACCCACAACGCTCTCTCACTACCCCCTCCATAGGTGGCCACAAGAAGACACTACCTATCAACCAGGAAGCAGGCCCTTCCCAGGCAAGGAGTCTGCTAACACCTTCATCTTATTTGTAGTAAGTTAGGGCTGGGAATATAGATCAGAGGCACAGCACCTTTCTGGCAAGTGTAAGGTTCTGAGTTCGATTCCCGGTATCCCCTTATTTGTAGAAAGTATGTTCAAACTGCTGTGTTACTCTGGAAGTTTTAAGAACTTTAAGACCTTTTTAAGAACTTTCCCTAGAAAATTTACCAAGTAAAAGAGATGAGAAATGAAGACTATGCCGACCTAGCCTCGCTGCATTCCTCATTCAAGTTTTCAAATCATTTAACAACAGATTTCGGAGTGGAGTGCAGTCGGCACCATAGCGCATCCCCAGGTGTTCCTTTAGAGAAAGAAGCTTCCTTCCCAGGGCTGCTCACAGCTCCCAGCCGCAGCCTCTCTGGGGACTGACCTCACCAAAACAGCTCTGCCTTGACTGGCTGACATCAAAGCACCAAGGCCCGGTCCCCTGACTGGCCCTCCAGATGCAGGGCACCCTGTGGACCAGCTGCATCAGAGCTCTGCTCAATCCTGCCCAGTCCCGCTCCTCACTGCATACCCAGAATCCCTCGCGAGCCCTCCCAGGCACACTCCTCATGGGCTCAGCTCCATCTCGGCCACCCAGGGAAAACGGCCTAAGACAGCGATGGCAGAAGCTTCCGCTCACACTCCTCTAAGTGCTCAGGCTGTCTGAGCGAAGGAGAATAAAATCTACACAGCTCCTTCACCACCTTTAAAATGTGCACAGCACAAAAAAATGCCTATGATTACATGAATGTGGAAATAACAGACCATTTTCCTTAGCAGTTTATCTGTTGCCTGTTGTTAGTTTTTTTGGATTGCACCTACACAGGCATAGGTATGTTATACCAAACCATCCTTTCCACAGCCTTCTTCTGTATCAGAATCGTACTTGTCTAACCATCAAGTGGTTTTATTATGTACAATTTTTGTCCAGAAAGTGATAATATTTGACAGAATCAGCCAGGCAAGAGGGCACCACTCAGCACAGGAAAGATTTGGGTACAAAGATTTCAATATACAAGTTGAGCATTCTTAATCCAGAAATCCCCAATCTGAAGTGTTCTGAAATCCAAACCTTTTTAAGTGCCAACATGATACCATAAGGGAAAAATTCCCTACTGTGAAAATTTGCTTCATTCACAAAATTATTGAAAATATTCTATAACATTACATTCAGGCTATGTGTATAAGGTATATATGGAACATAATTTCATGTGTAGTCTTAAATCCTATCCCAAAGATTTTTTCATTGTGCATATGCAAATATTCCAAAATCTGGGAAAAACTATGAAAAATTTAAACATTGCTGGTCCCAAGCATTTCAGATAAGGGATGCTCAACCTGTCTCTGCCCGTCCACCGAAGGTTGTAAAGTGTTCTCTATCCCCCAGGTCATGAAAGAGCAGCCATTAAGAACATGAACTGAGGAGCCTCAGAAACTATTTGCCCCAAGAGAACGACCACCCCAGCTAAGCGTGCATTAGTGAGCAAATGGTACCTGGTTCTCAATGGCTTTCCTGTTCTTGGGGTCGCTCACCACAGACAGCTGCAACTCGGCCATTTTCTTCATCTTGCTGTCCATGTCGATCTTCTGAAGCAGACTTCTTGTCTGGCTCTTCAGCAGCCTCACAGTGTCCTCTTTCCCATGCTTCTTTGCAAAAAGGGACGCACACGCAGAATGTATGGCAGTGACCCAATTCTCCAGGTCGGTCTGGCTGGTGGCCTAAATACAGAGGGAAATGGTTTGAAATGGTTGTAACACAATAGTTCTCTCCAAAATGGCAGACTGAGCTTTGATGTATAAAATCCAGGAAGTATTTGCACTTCATAAGAAGAGTTTAACCTCAAAAACACACTCAGCCACTCAACTCAGGTCCAGAGAGTTTGAGAGAACACAGAAAGTTGCAGAGAAACAATCATGGTGCATTAGACATGACAGGAAGCTCTACATACGAGGAAGAGCAAATAGCCAACCACAGCAGTAGTAGCAAACCAGGGCATATTCATTTGGGGTTATGTTCTGCCAGGTGAAAAAGCTGCTTATCTTCAGAATTTTAACATAAGGAAAGATACTGAGGGCAAATATTAAAATACATAATCTGAACATAAAACTACATCTACTGTATGGCTTCAATTATGAAAAATTTCTATAAACAAATATAGAAATAATGGACAGTAACATCAAAGTCATTGTCTTCAAATAGTAGGAATATGGAATGATTTTTATTTTTCTGCCCTTCAGTACCTTCAGACACAATGACCACATACTACTATTATAAAGGAAAGATATTTTATTTAAAAAACAATAAAGAGAGTTTGACTAAAGGATAATGACAAGTGTCCCTGATTCTAAACAGGCTGGAAAACACTTTCAATTCATCTTAAATCCAGATATATCCACATGCCTACTATACAAGCCATGGAGTTTATACTGTTTGGGCCTTGGGATTATAAAATAGGATCAACTGGTAAAACTTCTTTAAACTAAAAATATTTTGCCTGGACCATGAAGTAAAATATTCATTGCATACTTAGCCCTAAGGGAAACCCATGAAGGTTTCATCTGAGGCATTACTTGCCCTATAATTCAGGTTAACATCAACTCATTACTTGCTACACAATATCATAGAAGGTTTTAAACAATTTTCCTGTCAAATGGAGGAAAATCAAACCTCAGGCCTTGACACTTGTAAGTCAAGCCAGTTCGGGGTCAGCAGTAAGGGGGCAACTTACTACTGCTGTGCCCAGAAAATCCTGTTGCAGTGCACACTACAGAGATTTCTAGACGTCCAGAGTGAGTCTAGAGAACATTTGCTCTGCAGGGGTTCTGAGGGCACACAGGATTAAATGCATCAGAGATCTGAGCCCAGGACCTCAGAGGCTTCCACAACCCTTCCAGCCAGACACAATCTACAGCTGGCATCGGGTCCACAGGAAGTACTAGGTTTAGATGGAGAGGCCTTTGAGAAGTACTCTGTACTTCCTGGCTATCACTCCCATCTCTTTGAGGTTAAAAAACATTAGCCAGGTGCATGCACTTATAGTTCTAGCTACTCGGAGTCAGAGGCTAAGGCAGGAGAATCCTTTGAGCCCACATGTTCAAGGCCAGCCTAGGCAACACAGTGAGATTGCTCACAAAAAAAAAGGAAAAAAAAAACCCCCACAGGATTTCTTTAACACATAACATGCACACATGATGTTATTTAACCCTTAGAGCAATCCTTTGAGCCATTATTATCAACCTAATTGTTAAAGAGTCTGAACCTTCCCAGACAACACAGACACTCAACAACAGCACCAAGATGCAAACCTAATGCTGGCCTAGCACCTAGGGCTCAGCACCACCATGCTCCAAAACATCCCAATTACCAGAAAGCTGCTACCAGCAGATAACCTGCATTTTAACGTGCTAAGGCCACTTCCACAGGGACAGAGACCTCAGAGTATTTGGTCACGAGGGCCTTCCAGGAAAGCTTCTCCTTCTTCTGCTGGACTCTTGGCCAGAGCCTGAGCCCTTTCTGTACACATTTGCTAGGATTCCTTTAAAAAGCCTCAGCTCTGGGAACCTTGGACATTGTACTCTCTAGATTGTGAGCTGCTCCAGAGCGGAGTCATGATGAATCCTCTTTGGGCCGGGGTGAGCCTCTCCAGGGCACAGCCTGGCACTTCATGGGCACCTGAGAAGTGCCCACTGTACCAATGACGAGACTGGCCAGGGCCCCACTGCACAGCAGTCAGCAAAGGCTCAGGACTCCTGATCAAATCCTAACCCAAAACCTAACCCAAAGCCTTCGCTCTGTTTCCTAAGTTCAACCCCATTCCTTCCTAGCCGAGCTGTACACATGCCTCTCCCTGGACCCTCCACCGGCACAGCGCGGGCAGTACCTGGAAAAGGTAGACATCTCCAAAGGAGTTGCTGAGGCAGAACACATTTTCCTTCTTGGGGTGTTCTGGGACAGACTGCACAATGCTGTCCTCAGCAAAGAGGGCACATCTTGGGGCACTGCTCTGGTCCATGGAATTCTTCCCATAGGTCTCATAAAACAGCAGGGTGCAGCCTGCAAAAGATGAAAACAAGACAACAATGTCCCCGCCACCTGACCTGAGGGTCAGGAAAGGTAAGGGGATGTAAGTGATGCAGCTAAAAACAAAACAAAGCAAAACAAAATCCCAAAAACCTGAACGAGATGATTATGTCGTACCAACATGATTAACGAGGAAAAGTTGGCATCCGAGGCTGGCCTCAGGGTGCCAGCGTGAACTCGAGTAAGGGGTTATAAATGTAACATCAGTGGTCACAGTGCCAAGCATGCACTGCTGCTTAATTCCTTCTGCTACTCCACACATGCTGAGTCCTTTAATCCCTTTCCCACAAGGCAGGCACGGTTGTTTAAGCCGCTCTCCAGATGAGACCTGGGAGAAAGCCATCACCCACAGAGGTCCCACAGCTGGACAGGGTCCAGTGGCCTTGCACCAGGGTTCTTAAACACAAAGCTGCACTACTTAGGAGACCTACATGTGGGAGGTGGAAGAAAAAAATCCCCTGTTTATCAACTACACCTGCAGACAGTGCAGCCTGGCAAAGATGAAAGCAAGATAACAATGTCCCCATCACTTGACCTGAGGGGTCGGGAAAGGTAAGGGGACGTAAGCGATACTATAACTAGAAACTGCAGATATTGAGGGAACTTTGTCACTTATGAGAAAGTATCCAGTTTATTTATCCTCCAAATGCCACATAAATAACTTGATTTTAGTGTATCTTTTACCCCTGGGTGATAGGACACATATAATAATCTTATTAATTTAAGCTAAGGAAGAAAAATTTAAATATGCTTGGATTTTAAATATTGCTGTAAAAAGCTGCTACTTTTTTAAGTACTTATTTTTCCTCAATAAGCTAATAAAGTATTGCAGACAGAAGTTATTAAAGGTCTGTTTTAATTATGGAATTAAAATAAAAGGAATACTGTAAATATTGGACAGGATTTGAGGACAAACTGATGCTTCTAATAAGCATGCAAGCTTGAAAACAACCTTAAAATAGTCAAGGAATAGGGTTAGAGTCCCTTCAAACCTCTACTTGAGAAACATTTTTGAGTGTCCCTCACATGTCCAGCACCAGGACACAAATATGAATGACATGGTCACCACCTGTGCTCTCAAACCCCTTTCCCTCGACAGCAGGCACTGATGGTGAACGCCATCCCCTTGGTGACATTTTATCCCACTGCACCAAGTCCTCGTCCAGACACACTTTAAAAACTACTTGACTCTTGTTAGTTTAACTGTTTCTTCTAAATCTAAGTCTTAATGTGAACAAAGAGCAGAACACAGAAGCCAGGACAAGAAGATGCCCCAGGCTTGGCCTTCAGAAACAGCACTTTCTTCTTCCACGGCAGTTGGTACTGAGCAATTGCTCCTCCTCCTAAGTAAAACTCACCCACGGGCTGGGGTGCAGCCCAGTGACAGAGCCTGTGCTCAGCATCCTGGGGGACCGTGGACTCCATCCGTAGCACCAAGAAACTAAATCACACACCTCATCAAAATTGGCAGGCTGAGCATGTTCACATATGAAGACAAGGGAAAGAAACAAGAAATTTATGGTAAAAGCTCCTTTCTTTTGGGACCGGGAATCAAACTCAGGACCTTGCACTTGCCAGGCAGGCACTGTGCTGCTGAGCTATCTCCCCAGCCCAAAGCTCCCTCTTGCAGGCCTGAGGCACTCCCTTTTCCACCAGGATGCAGCTGCAAACAATAAACCTAATCTTCGCATCAGGAAAGGCTGCTCGTGTCTGAGGAACATGCAATGTTTCATGACCGGGGACCCAAGGACCAGGGTAAAGGTGACAGAGCCATGCTAGCTGCACTACGTTCAAATTCTTTCCAATGGGTTAACCTTTGCTTCCCAGGTTCCCTAACATTGTACTCTAAAGGCCAGCATTTGAATCACTACGTCTAAAGGAAACAAATGTAAACCCTGGAAAGGTGCCAAGATGCTGCCACAAACCCCATCACCAGACTAGAGCTCAAGGTGGGCATTTCATCTTACAGCCAGGCCTAAATGGCAGCACCGATATGCATGATTTTGTGCCTATTGGATTTAAAGAACAAGAAATTTATTTTAACCCTGTCACATCAATTTTAACATGAAAGAACTCTGTGTCTCCAAGGGGGCACTGGTGTTGGCACAACACAGCTGACCTGTGTTAACAAGGTCTCCTCTTACCCACCCCAATGCCGCAGCCACCAGCCAAGACCTGCGCCCACCAGGCATGGGGGGCCACCTGAAGGGATGACAGTGGATGGTCTCCTTGCCACAGAAGTGAAAAAAATTTAAAGACTGTAACAGCAGAAGACGCATCAGAGTCCTGATGCTACACAAAGCATGTTGTGCATTTTGAAGGATATCTGTAATGACCTGTGAACTGTTCACTCTACGAAGTCTCTGTGAATTGCATGAAAATACACTCATTGAGAAAGACAGGTATAAAGCAGAACTGTCCTTGTTAAAAATTTTATGACATCCTCCCAGCCCCGAAAAACATTTGCGCCCTCAGCATCCCAATACATGCAATGCTAGCAGCTCACCATACAGTTTGCTGGTAACTGCTGTCTACAGAAAACTCTTTCCAATTTACCTACATTGATATTTGGAGTATCATTTTAAAATTCTGCCTAAATGAATTTATGCTCTGAACTAGGATTAAACCAAAAAGTCCAAACACTGCAACTTGGACTCTAAGTGAAGAAAGTGGAACTTTAACATACTGAATTTGCAGAGGAAGAAGGTGTAGAAAGCCATGTGGGAAAGGTCATGCTGAGAAAAACATCTTTATCACATGCCTCGCCTTGGCTGAAAGGAAATGGGGAATGTGTGTCTGATAACACTTACAGAGCACCCTTTATCCATGCATCTTGAAGTGTTTTACAAGGAAGATCCGAGAGAGCAGGGCGCAGGCAGACAGATCTTAAAACAGTCAAGGAAAACTCAGGCCCATCGCTCCCGCTGCAGTCAGCAGCCAGAAGTTCTGGTATACCTTCCAGGGTGGACAGGAGGCACCTGGCAATGGACTCTTCCAGCTTCTACATGACACCTGCCTGAAGCTGACTCAACACTCCACCCTCACCCACAACAAGGAGGCTCTAACAATCTGCCTGGGCAACAGCACTGTCGGAAGCAGGGAAAGCAAGAAGGTATGGTATTGTCTTCCTGCTTGCCTGTGGTTCTAGATGTGGTGGTTGTTTTCAATGATATATAATCAGCCTGACCTCCAGTAGTCCCTTCCTAACCTTTAGAGAATCAAATGTCAGGGTCTCTTTACAACACTGGAGTGAGACTCACTCTCACCCCAGTTCTTATTTTCATTGGGATACAGTCCTAGATCCTTATGCTCTCTTCCATATGATATGGCTCAAAGTACTTTCACTGTCAGGGATGGCTCTGCTCTTCCAGGTAGGGTATGATCATACATATCTTCACTACCACCATCATCCACTGCTGTGGAGATGTACACAGGATTGTCAAAACAGGGAGGGAAGAACTTTCAAAAGCATTAATTTTAAGAAACAAATTTTGCTTAAAAAAAAAAAATACATGCATTAAATACATGTATTCTAAATATCATAAAAGAGGCAGCTTCACCTATGATTCATAAAGAATTCCAGGTGCTCTGCCAGCCCACACGCACTACCACCACCCAGCATGTTTGCTTCTCTCTCCAGACAGGGACACTTCAGGTGGAGCCTTCTCAAGAGCCCTTTTCTTATTTATGAACAAGTCCTCTCCAATACACGCCAGGCTGCTAGGAGGGAAATGGCCAGCTCTGACCAGGGAAAAGGAAGGAAACCGTCACCTCCTTTGCAGAAGACATGACACCTCCAACGTTAGAGGTGAGGGTCACATTCTCTCTTTTAAAGCACATTGATTTTTACTGTGGCCTTATTACCTGAGAAACTCATTGAGCCTGCAAACCAAGCCCCCAAATCTTTCTCACTTGTAATTCATTGCAGTCATGACTCCCTCCCCTATCCTTAGGTAGCTCTTTGACTTTTAAGCCTTAAAACATAACTTAGACGTAACTTGGCCTTTCCAACTATTGTCTTACTAGAGCCAACATATTATTCCAACTTTCCAAATCTCTTCTGTCATTCACATAAAACTGCCGCCTCCATATACAAAACCTGAGTCAGTTCTTTGCCTGGACCCAAATCTAGAGTCAAAAAAGACAACTGCAGTGGGGACAGGTGACTGGCTCCTCACAGCTCCCACACCCTCCTGCACCCCAACCAGGGAAGAGAGCTACTTAAAATGCCTGTTTATCAGAGAGGTTTATGGGTAATCAGAACATGATGTCTGCTCTGCAAGGCTGGGGGAAGGTGGCTCGCAATTGTAAATAGGTGGCCAAAGAGGAAAGCTAGGAGGCGGCAATCCAGAGGGCTCCAGGCATGCCACGTACACTGTCTATAGCTGTGACTCCTGTTTCTGCCTTCCTCCATGCTGGGGAAGGGCGCCACCTGATAACAAGGTCTGACTTTTGAAATATCACATTTAGATCCTTTGACAGAGACACAGGAGGACTGTGGGAAATGCCAGAGTCTGTGAGGCTTGGAGGCTACTCCTCCTGTCTGCATCCGTACAAATTAACACTGTGTGGATTGAGGGCCTCTCGTTTCCACACAAGACATTTAGGTTTCTTCAAATCCACACACCACCATGAACAAAGCAATTATACTTTCTAATGGCAATGCTCGATGAAATTTGTATCATCTTAACAAATTCTTGTTTCTATTTCCTTCATGGGGGGGATGAGGAAGAGAAGGAGAGAGGGAGGGAGGAAAAAAGAGGGAAGAGTGGGAGCGGGGAGGAAGGGAAGGAAGGAGGGTAAAAGACAGACAAAGAAAAGCTACACTTGGAACTAGGAGTAGCACTCAGGATAAAGCACATGCTCAGCATATGCAAGATTCTGGGTTCCATCCCTGGCACCAAAAAAAAAAGCTGCATTTGCTGGTAATAACAGCTATACTTTCATAGTTCACAAAGTGAAATGCTACAACCCAAGAATACAGATGATATTGAAGATGATACTCAAGCTATGAGAGGTACTACACTTTGAAGTTCTGGAAATGTGCAGGATGTGAAATTTAAGACCTATATTCCCAATCACTAAACTACGTCTCATAGTTTATTTAGTTTTACCCCCTCCACACACACACATACACATATAAGAACAGTGTCAAAGAGTGGTACAGTAATATATAAAAAATAATAAGCAATGGCTTTTAAATTAAACCATTATTTGTTAGACTGAATAATACATATGCAGGTAAGTAAGCCATAGCATACAGGCTTGGCAAAGGATTTACAGTAAAGCATGCCCTGAGGCTCTGTATTGAATCCTTCACATTAATTTTGAGGGATGCGGACCTCAGTGACACTTTCCCATGAGGAGTACAGGCAAGGAAACTACCGCCAGCAGCCCTCGGGGAGTTACAGCAAACGTGCTTACCCTTAAGTGTTACCCAGTACTGTTTCCACTTCCTCCGAGCCACCAGCTCCAGCTTCCTTTCCTTCTGCAAGGTGACAAGGGGTTTGAAGAAAAGCCACCCGGCTTTCCGGACCACTCCCTGCTCCTTCTCAAAGAGCAGATCCAGTTGCTCCAGCGAGCTGAGTGACTCACTGCTGGACTCGACGGTTTCTGTGGATGTTTCTACGTGCTCAGGGTTGGTCCTGCTCATTTCCAACTCCCGCATGAAATTCTCGTAAATGTTCTGCTGAAGGGGATCGCTGCCAATCGCATGAGTAGATTCGCTTCTGTGAGACAGGATCTGAGCCGAGCCCCCTGGCCACAGTAGGGCAGGCGCCTGAGAGGGCACCTGTACATCTGTGTTCAGTCCGTCAGAGCAGCTGTCAAAGCTGGACCTTGGTTCCTGTGTGTAACACAAGTGATCACTGTCAGGGAGGAGGGGATCCAAAGCATCCCCCCAACATAGCCCCAGTGTCACACAGTGGTCACTAATAATGGTGGTGCAAAGGAATGTTCTTGTAATAAAAACACATCTGTAATTATCGTGCCTCCAAACCAGAAAGAATTTTAGAAATGGTATTGCCCAACCCAATTTATATCAGTGAAGCCAATGCTTAAATACCACTGGTTCTCCAAAATCAAACATATGTTTAGCATTAAGAAATTAGTACATTTAAAACACACTAGGAAGGGTTTTTAGAATGCATTTCTTTTCTCTTTGCAAACCGCAGATCCATGTCTTCCTGGAAAGAATGTATGTTTCTTGAGATCTATTTTCCTTCTAGACTATTTAAAACCTAAGTTAGAAAATCACTAGTTCCATAGCAGGGTACAGGGGATAGCTAGGACTTGGTGTTATCCTACAAAACCCCATGAACTTCTCTTCTTATCTCTATGGCATATACACACTATGCTCAACTTCTGGCTGACAATCCCTGTCCAGACTTCTCAACCCAAGAAATCTCTAGTATCTTATTTCCCCAGTTCATCTGGTAAAAACCATGTCCTGAGGATTCTTTGTCAGTAAGGGTACTGGTCAGTAATTGTAGCTTTTTCCTTCATTCATTTTTTTTACTTAATTTGGGAATTTCTTTCATTAAAAGAATATACTTGGGGCTGGGGATTTAGCTCAGCAGCACAGCGCCTGCCTGGCAAGCGCAAGGTCATGAGTTCAATTCCCAGTACTGGGAAAAAATTTTTAGAAATTTTAAAAAAAGAATATACTTATTCATTTGTTCACATCCTTTTACTTGAGCACCTATTTTATTGTAGGGACTAGGAATACCAAAGACATAATTCTTCACTTTAACTTTTTTTTCACAACACAAAAATCAAACAAGTAGGCCAGGCAAAGTAGTGCATACCTATAATCCCAGCACTTGAGAAGCAGAGGCAGGAGGATTGCCATGAGTTCCGGGCCAGCCTGGGCTGCATAGTGAATTCAAAACTAGCCCAAAATACATAGCCAGACCCTGTCTCAAACTCCCACATACTGCCCGAAATCAAATAAGCCGTTAAAAACTTCAATTACACTATAGTGGTTGCCTCTTTATTTGGACTAGTTGTACTAAACATAGAGTTAAACATGTAGAGTTGAAAACAAAGACTGGTCTAATGTCTGTATTGTCATTCAAGAAAAGGAACTGTCATAAAGGCTACTCATTGGTAAATTGCAATAACTAAATTTTTCAGCAGAAAGTGAGCTTCTGATTCAAAAGGTGCTGGTATTCCACACTTACAGCTTAGAGCAGCGGTGGTGAACCAATGTCAGTGTGCAGCGTGGGATGTTTGTATTATTATAAGTGCTAAAAGGCTCACCATCACTGGCTTAGATTAAGGCAACTGCTAAGAAAGGCTAAATGTATTCAAGTCTGTTCAGCTGCTAGTACACCTCCAATAATATTTCTATGAACTAAAACAAAAGCGAGGGGAAGGCTGGCCCAGCACTATGGATTAAAGGCCTAATTTACAGTATTCTAGTGTGGAAAAGTTTGCTTTTAAGAAACACATCCAGAAATCAAGGATCATTTAACTTGTCGTCTTGTGTAGGCAAATCATGATGCAACTCAAGAGTATTTCCAAACGCCCAGGAGCTGCAAACATCTGAGTTCCAAACATAGCTACTAATAATAAAAATATTATTTTCTGCTGTGTTCACACTACATCCCATAGTCAGACTTATTTATACCCTGATGCATCTGTACAGCAAAACAAGTACGCCAGCTGCTGTGACTCACTTGGAAACTTTCAAAATATTTTAAGATTTTTTTCTTTAAATCATCACTCTGCTGATCTTCAAAAACTCCTAGGAGATGAAAGAATACTTCTTGTTTAGCTAGCATCAACATTATTTCAGCTATGAATGTGACTGTCTGACTCACTGCCCCAGAACCCTGGGATTACCTGTCACCCTGCAAGAGCCATAGTAGGGTGTTTCAAAACAAGCAAAATACTACCAGAGAAAAGCACACAGTGGCAAGGTTACATGTGACCCATAAACACTCCTGTCATTGTTTCTCACAATATAGAGACTTCAAGTTGTAGTACTGACTATTAAATATTCAACCATAGCAAGGCACTATTTCCTCCCTGAGAAATAGAGAAATACTGCACATTAGCATTTATAACTGATTCTTCATGCATAGACATGAGTTTTCCCACTCCGTAGTCAATTTCTAAAGCTTCAATATATATAATCTTAACAACTTGTGTGAGTTTTCAGTCTAAACAGTGCCTTGAAGAAACTTTTTAAGAAAGTCTTTATATCACTTCAGATCGAATTTCTAGTTACTACATTGTACGTGTGAAGATACTTGCTGTATATGAACAAAAAACACATGATTTCCATTTCCTCCCAAGCAGGTAACCATAGACAAAGGCTAATACAACTTGACAATGAGGGTACTGCACCCAAAAGTAGAAAGGGACATCACTCCACAGAAACACACTGCATGATCTCATTCATGTATGAATCCAAGAGTGAAACTCAGGAGGAGAGGGGAAGAAGAGGCTGCAAAGGGTTAGGAGGTGGGCAAATGGGGCAAGATGTCCGTTGTACAAGATGAGTAATGTCTGAGATCTAAAGGTACCTGCGTGTGACTACAGTTCACACTTTTTTACACTTGAAATTTGCTAAGAGAGCACACTTAAAATGTTCTCACTGCAAAAAAGGGCAACTATGAAGTGACAAATATGTTAACTAACTTGATTGTTATTATCATTTCATAATATGTATTTATTTCCAAGTTTCAAGTTGCAGACTTGGTAAACGTATACAATTGCTATTTGTCAACTACACCCTAATAAAGGGGAAGGGTGTTACTAACTCCTCAGCAGCTAAAGGAAAACGATCATTGTTCCTCACATTCTAGGAAAACATACTACTAACTTATTCACACCTGTATACTTGTCTGCCAGTGCTTCCTACAAAGTATTTCTGATTCCTCCCTAGATACATGATATGACAATTTCTCATCCCTTTCCTTGCCTTGAAGGTAGGCATGGCCATATACCTTGCTTTGATCAATAAATGTAAGAAATCAAATGTGTTGTTTCTAAGAGGAAGCTTTAAAAATCAACACCAAGCTGGGCACACCTATAATCCCAGCTATAACCCAGCTATACTCCACGGCCACAGGAGACTGAGGTAGGAGAATCCCAAGTCTGAGGTCAGCCTAGGCAACTTCACATCTGTCTCAAAATAAAAAAACACAAAAATGAAAATAGCTGGGAGCATAGCTCAGTGGTACAGTACGCCTGGGTTCAGTCACTAGTACCGAACAACAAAGTCAACAGCAACTATTTTCTTCTGCTTTGTCAACCTGAATCTTAGGGAACCACGTAGACTATGACCACCAGCTGACCAGGGATGACTGTGCACCATGAATGAGAGAACAGCTTTGGGGAGTAAACCACAGAGACCTGAAGAGTTTTGTTACTGCAGCAAAATGTAGCATAGTCTGACTGACACAACTGCAAATTTAAGCAGGACAGCATCAAGGTCTCCCTCTACCTAAAATTAGTATGAAGAGTTGATGTGATTCAAGCATCTATTACCGCCTAGCACATGTTCCCTCTCTTTCTCTCCTCTCTCACTGATGTACTGCTAAGTTATTCCTCTGCAGTTGTGTAGGTTTTTCAAAGATTAATCTGCTTTCAGGCTCTCACTCACCTGGGCAGGTTTCAAGCCCACTGCTCTGACATCACTTTTTTAAAGGTCAAAACAAACACCTATCTATCATGTGAGGCTTTCTGGACCACTACCTTGCCGGCATGCAGGAATCTGAGCGAGCGGGGAGGGAGGGAAGGGGTAATGGTTTGATGCTTTATTATAGTATAGTATCACAAATTGCTCCCATGTTTTGTTTTGGTTTGGTTTTTTTTTTTCCGGTACTGGGAATCAAACTCATGATCTTGTGCTTGCCAGGCAGGCGCTGTGCCGCTGAGTTAAATCCCCAGCCCCTGCTCCCGTGTTTAGATTGCAGTTTTTAAAAATCTAATCCCAACATCTGCCTTAAATTGTAAAAGGAAACCAAACCTCTGGCCAACAGAAGTGGCATCCTTGCAAAAAATGAGAAAATAAAAATTAGTTCCTTTCACACTTACAGATTTATCAATTGTGGGAACACAGCAAAATTTACAAATCTGCCTTCATCAGTCACTTTTCAAAACTCCGTATGTTTTTATCTTATTATTCAATAGCCACAAATAATTAATGGTAGTTATCAACACTACCTTGGCTATGGGCTGAGGGGAAAGGATCTGAGGTTTCACAGAAATGGCATCAGCCCTTGTGGTTTATTTCTAGACATTGCCCCAAATCCTCATGCGATCAGAGGTGGGGCTTTGGGGAGGGGACTTGATCACGGATGCATGATATCATCAGCAGATTAGTCACTGTTGAGTTTATAATTAAAGGTGACTTGGGAGGTGAAGCCTGCTTGGAGGAGGTGGGTCACTGGGGCGCAGCCTGGAAAAGTGTATCTCCCTCCCTGTTCCCTGATTCCTCTCCTGTCTCCTGCCTCCATGCCATGCACTCTGTCTTCTGCGAGGCTCTCCACTACGCCACCTTGCCTTGGAGCCAGCTGACTATGGACTGAAACCTCTATGGACTGTGAGCCAAAATAAACCTCTCCTCCTTAGAGACGCAGGTGTCAGGCATTGTGTCTCAGCGATGAGAAAAGGAACTAAGACAGCCCTGCTTCCCCACTAACTAGTCATGGGCCTTCAGGAAGGACCCTCAAGCTCCAGGAGTCTTCAGCTTCCTTGTCTTTAAAACGAGGGAGAGTCCTTTAGCTTTAAAGTTCTTAAGTACTGTGTTCTTAATTCTTCAGGCACCCAAACAACTCCGAGTTAAGTTTTCAGATGACACAAAACTGGACGAGGCCCGCTTCCCCTGGGTGGGCTGAGCAATGCGGGCCTGCATGTGACAGAAGTGGGTGGCAAGTGGTCTGCCCCTGAACTGCGAAGCTGAACTCAGTAGGTTCCGTGGAGCTGCATGTGCACAGGCCACAGGCACACTCAGCACAAGTAGGAAATGGGCCGTGACTGGCTCCCTGGCAGCATCCATTAGGCAACACACTAGGTGAACTGTGTCAGTAGCAGCTGAACACAGGCTGCCTCCGGAACACTTGAGTGCAGAGGATGGAGAGTTCTCGGTGTGGGCTGCAACTCCCATGTCCCCAGGGGCTGTGTCCCCACCGTGCTCTACTACATCAGCTGTTTGGGAAATGGGAGACAAGAAAAAAAGGTCAAAGAACTCTCCATTATTTTGCAATTTAGCCTAAGAAGCGATGACTAAGGAGTAGGCAAATGACTGTATTTGGGGAAATGAAAAGGTTCTGGAGACAAGATGGTTATCTCCTGTCCTTCTTCTCCATGGGAAGGAGAAAGGGCACCCATGCACAGTCCCAAGGGTGGTGACCGTGGCAAGCAGGAAGTAAGCAATGGTCAACTGTATAAACCAGAAATGATCAACTCAGGGCAGGGCAGTTCCATTATTTTCAACTGTTAAAGTGCTACACAATTTTATACGTGTGTGTGTCTGTCTGTCTGTCTGTCTAGAATGGTTAAGACAATTGTGCTAGAAACTAATCACCCATTCAAATTCGCCTCATACTGAGCAACAATGAAAAACATTTTCTCCCTAAAAGCAAAACCAACTACCACCGAACATCTAACAAATGCCACTGGGTTTTAAAAAAAGCAAACTAGTATTTTTCTTCCTGGTGGCTAAACCACTTTTTTCCCCTAACAGAGCTTTATATAACTTGAAAAGTTATTATCATCATGATTCCTATTCTATCAGCATTATAGTTTTGTTATTACATGTACCTGGATGTACGATATTTTCAAAATCTGACTAGCTAGCTGAATGAGGATATGGCCAGATTACAAATGTAGATATAATGTCAATTTTTTTTTTCATACACCTTCAGCAGAGAAATTTAAATTTTCTCCAAGAAATACCAACTTCAGGGAGCCTACTTTTCTAAAAATAACCATCTCTCTCTCTCTCTTTTTTGCTTGGATTTAAAGAGCTCTAGTAAAAATCCCCAGATAACCAACTCATCCAGGGAGTCTCCCAGCCCTGTTCTTTCTGACGATAGTGGCCAGGTCTTACAACGAGGCCCACAGAGCTCAGACATTAGGAGAGGTAGGCACGGAATCTGGGTACTGTGGATTAATGCTGCACCCCCTCAAAGCCCTTATGTTGAACCTTAACTACCAGTGGGATGATACTAGGAGGTAGCACCTCTGGGAGGGAATTAGATTTCAATGATGCCACAAGGGCAGGGCTATTGTAGGATTAGTGTCCTCATAGGAAAACTAGGAGTCCCTCTTCCCTACTAGGTGAGGACAAAGTGAGAAGGTGGCTATCTACAGCCAAGAAGTGGGGCCTCTCCCGAATCTGACCACACTGGCACCCTGATCTCTGGCTTCCCATCCTCTGCGACAGTAAGGAATCTATCTGTAGAGCAAGCCCCCTGATCTGTGGTATTCCGCTTGCAGACTGCATTCACTAAGACATGGAGAGACTGAAGTTATGGGCTAAGAGTGAAAATGTGTATCTCAAGCAAACAAGGAAGAAAACCCCCCACCTCAACAGAAGGTGTGCCAGGTCTGACACTAAGCTCTTCCCTTTCACTAGTTCACCTAGGCTTCTGGATAACTCCTCAATACCACACCTGTATAACAGATGGGGAGACTCAGAGATCATCCCCTCTGCTCTGCAGCGTCCTCACCTGGAGTTTCCTCTTCTTCCTTGAGAGGCTGCCTGTCCAGTCGCTGATGCGTCGCATTCTGCCTTTGAGGGTGTCCTTCTTTGTAGTATCCTCAGTTAAGGCTTTGGACTTCCGGCAGGGGAGGGTGAAGGAACTGTATGGGACGGGGTCCCTGTGCTCCACCCTGGAGGGCACATCAATGTCAGATGCAAAAGACACGCGATTGCTTAGGCTGGTGTGGGAGCCGATATATTCGTCAGAAAGGCAGAAGCCAGATGGGGAGCGGCTCCCCAGGTTGGCATCTTTGTACAGATCCCGAAGTGAGGACAGGGAAGAGCTTTGGTTGAAAGGCTTTTTGGCATCACCAGGTGGGAAGCTGGTGGGGAGGCTGGGATCGGGCGTGCTGGGAGCTAGGAAGGAGCCCTCCACCTCGCTCAGCTCCCCAGCGTTGCCCCAAGGGGAGTCGTACCAGGATGACTCCGAGCTCAGGGAGCTGCCTTTGCTGGAACGAAGGCGAGAGTCAGTGGGAGAAGGGCGCTGGCTGGCAGGGGAGTCAGCACCAGAGTCCCTCCTGGCTTCTGGCACAGGGGAGGTTCCTGATGCCAATGTAGGTGAGTACCGCAGCAGCTGCACTGGACCCCTGGGGTCCTCTGCAGGCCCATTGCTGTGGTTGGCACCGTTGTGGAACTCGACCCTTAAACACCCATCCAGCTTCCCCAGAGTCTTGATGAGCACCCTGGGGCTACGGCGGTCTTCACCTGGGACGGTGGGGGCAGCACTCTCATTTCTCCCATAGCAGTTGAGAAGGTGTCCATTGCAGTCTCGAGAGGTGATGTGGTTGTCTGCTGGCTGGTGGTCATCGTAGTGGAAGCCATTCTCAGGTGAGAAAGCAGCACTGCTGCCCTGGAAATCACTTCCTGAGGTGCTCGCCCTGTGCTTGGCATAGGTGATGCCTTTGGACACTTTGCACGTGGGCCCACTGAGTCTTGATGCATAAGGCTGATGACTCTTAAAGTGAGAAAGGCAGCTTCGGGCCAGGGATCTGGACTTGTAACCTGCTCCACTGCTCCCGTGAGTCCAGCCATGCAGCGACTTCTCATCCTTCGCATGAATGCTGCGTATTTTCAGGGAGCAAGGCTTTTGCTTAGCACCAGTAATAGTATTGCTATGATTTTTAGATCCTTGAAGGGTGTACTGACTCTCGGAGTTGCCCATTTTAACCTAAATTAAGTACAGTTGCGTCAGTAAAAGCCATGACCTAAATCACATTCTAAAAGATAACTTCTTATGCATCATATAGGAAACAACTTTCTTTCTGTGCCTGACCCAGTTCAGAAGTAGAGACAAGAGTTACTTACCCAGTTGGCTCTCCTTATTGCGCAAGGCTACTACTGCACACACAGGTGCTAGTTATTTTAAACACATTATCTGTAGTACCGTGTCACTGCAGAATTGAACAGGCATAAAAATCACCTGAAGGCAGAGACCTCCTTCAGGTTTGGTGGTGGCAGGTTTTTAACTGACAATTCCTGAAAAGAAAAATTAAGGGATAGTGAGCTGTTAGCTCTTCCAACCTTTGAACTGCCAGTCTAGACACATGATCTTTCAGGACCAGAGAGACACATTTTTATTACATGTAAGTGACTGAACAGCTAATGAACCAATATTAATATTGGGGAATCAGATACCAAAATCTTCACATGCCCAAGTGCCTTACATATAACTGTATGGTAGTACATTCATACCTTGGTCTCGATGGCTTTGAAACGCATAAAATTTGGTACTCAACACATTTTAATAAAAAAATTTTGGCCTGGTACTCAACATTTATTTGGTATTTGACACATAAACTAGAACCAATTGCCTTGTGACTTACCCTTTTCAGCCAAAACAATTTGTTTTTGGTTCTAAGGCATTACTGTATTTGCATATAACCTATGCATATTCTCTGAATACTTTAAATCATCTGTTGATTACTTATAATACATAATACAATGCAAATACCATGTAAATAGCTGCTCTATATTTTATTGTTTGGGAAGTAATGACTGGGGAAATGTCTGTACATGTTTATTAGTACAGATATAATTAAAAAGTGCATTCAATCTGTGGTTGGTTGAATCTGTGGGTACATAACCCCTGGATACAGAAGGCTGACTTCATAAGAGTTTAATACACTGAAGCTACATTTGTAATAACACAACCCCGGGTACTACACTCTCGGGGGGTTATCACATATCGCAGAGTACGAGTATCACAAAAAATAAGTAATAAAAGTCCTCAGAAACAAAGCTGAAATTGAAAAAAAAAAAAAACAGGAGCAAACTAAGAGCTCCCATTTGGCATGGAAAAACATTTTAATAACATGCACCTCTAGAGCTGTCTGAAGACTCCAAGCTTCCTCACTTTTGAGCAAGATGAGAGAAAAGTCCAAAGCAGACTTGTTAGAATGTGGACGACAGAACAAGGTCCTGTTAACACAGACCTTGTTAAGACAAATGCAAAGTGAACCTTGCCCTATTTTTCCTTTCTTAGCAGGGCATCACTCAGTATTGCAGGTAAGTTGGAGCCAACATTTCCAGCTGGGTTCCCAAACAAGTTAGCAGGTTTTTAAATTCTTTCGTATCTAGAATCTACAGGTACAAAACAGAAGTCAAACGGATTGGCTTTTCTTTGGTTGCAGTTAACAAGTTTTTAAAAACAAAATCACAGGACCAAATAATTAAACAATTACTTATTACCTTAACACAGGGAGGCACTTGCTATGAACCACATGTAGCTGAGCTGGGATTCCCTGCAGTCTGGTTTTTGCTCAGAGAGAGGTTAGTGGTCAGTCGGCTTTACATGGTCTTAGGAGCAATGCAGCACATTCAAAAAGCATGGGAAATGAATCCACGTGTCCTCAAAGCAATCCTGCAAAACAAATACAAGAAAACGCCATGAAGCATTTGACATGTAGATTACCTGGTGTCTAGAATCACTGTCAAGATAATGTGCAAGATGTCTGTGAGCTGCCTGACTCATCAAGATTGCTTGGAAGATGTAAAGGAAGCCAGGGCTGTCTGTTCTTCCAGTCTCCTGAAGGCACCGACTCAACACCGGTCTGCAGTCAAACACCTGTTTTTGTTTGAGAGCAGGTGAGAGTGCTCAAATGAGTCATGCTTGGCTCATCCTCCATCACTACCAGGAAAACAGTCCTGAGGCTCACCTGCTGACGAGCTGCAGGGGCACCTCCTGACAGACAGGACAGCAGTGGCTCATTGTTCTCTGCCTGACTAAGCAGTAAAAACAAAGCCCTGAATGTAAAAATCACAGCGAACAGTCCTTGGCTAAAACAAGCTTGGTTATAGAAGCTGACCTCATCGCTGACATTAAAAACGTTCTCAAACAGGTGTGAGCAGAGTGAGAGGCCTGCCTCGGAGGGATGCAGCGGCGCAGTTTCTGAGAGAGAAGGAGGGCTGGGATGGGGCTGCCATCTGGTGACATTCCCTGCACACAGACAAAGGCTTTATGTTCTCCACAGGCCCAGAAAGCAGAGTGAGGAGCGATCAAGATGAACTTCGTAGTTCCGTTCTTTTTTTTTAATTTAAAGATTAAAAAACAAAAACTATTAACAGACACACAGACATTTACAAAATAACACAAAAACAATACAAGCAATTCATATTTTCAGACAAGGTGACAGGAAATTAACAGTGGTTGTTGTATTACATATTGATATGTTCAAAGTGGTTATTTAGATAAACAAATATAGGCATGTAAGATCAATCAAACATTAACTGTTCCTTTCAAGAAACCAATAGAAATCAGTATTACAATTATCTTAGCTATCCTGTGTATACCTATATACATATTTTCCCTTCTTTCTTTCCTCTTTTCCCTCATCCCAGTTGTTCTTTCCTTTTGAGCAGTTTCTTCCCCTTCCACAATATCTATTGTACCTTTTAGATTTTATTCACTCTTTCAGGTTCTTACACTAGTGAGACAATAAGGTGTTTACACATGCAGGTCTGATTTATTTCACTTATGAGTATGGTCTCAAGTTATGACCATTTACCTATAGAAGCCCCAAGTCTATCTTTCTTTATAGCAGGGTATGATCCCATTACATAAAAATACCACAACATTTTTATCCATTCCTCAATTAATAGGCATTTGGGTTGTTTCCATGATTTAGCTATTACAAATTGTGCTGCTATAAATATGGGTGCACGTATATCATTGTGAACCCTAAAATTTCAGCTTACTGTGCCTCAAAGAACTTCTATCTAAAACATAGAAAGAATTTTTAAAAAATCAGTCCCCCCCAAATTCAAAGACCCAATCCAAAAATAGGCAGCTGAGATGAATACACACTTCTCAGATAAAGAAATACAAATGGCAAATAAATACATGAAAAAATGTTCAACATCATTAGTCACTCAAGAAATGCAAATTAAAACAGCACTGACATTCCATCTCACCCCAGAAAGAATGGACATCATCAAGAAATCAACCAATAACAAATGCTGGAGGGGTTATGGGTAAAAAGGAACCCCCTCCACTGCTGGTGGGAATGTAGACTGGTGAAACCACTGTGGAAATCAGTGTGGAGATTCCTCAGTAAACTAGGATGAGAGGTCACATTCAACCCAACTATTTCCCTTCTGTGGCTAGCTTATTTCACATAGCATAATGTCCTCAGGGTTCACCCACATAGTAGCGTATGTCAGGATTTCCTTCCTTATTAAGACACAACAACATTCTGTTATGTGCACAAGCCACAGTTTATTTATTCATTCATCTATGGGCAGACACTTGGTTTGCTTTCCACCTCTTGGCTATTGTGAATAATGCTGCTATCAACATAGACTGGAGATACTGTTTTGAGACCCTGCTTTCAATGGGGTCTATACTCAGAAATGGAAGTGCTAGATCATCAGGTTATTCTATTTCCCATTCTTTGAATAATTGCCACACTGTTTTCCATAGCTGCTGCACCATTGTACATTGCCACTAGCAGTACATGAGGGTTTCAAGGCCTCCCTATCCTCACCAATACTTGTTTCCTGGGTGTTTTCTGATGTTTGTTTGATAGCAGTCATCCTATTGGGTAGATATGGCATCTCAGGGTAGTGCTATTTATGCTTCTCTAATGATTACTCACGTTAAGCATCTTTTCATGTGCTCACTGGTTACTGCAGATCTTTTTCTGGAGGATTCAGTAACAGCTTCGGAAGTTAATGAGAGCGGAAGCAACGGACACCAGATTTAAATTCCTTTTAAAAGGCCAAAGATAAGCCTCTTGTTTGAGCTTATCCACACAAACACATTTTAAGTCAGAGAAGAAAAAAAGTCCAATAGCTTTTCCACTTGGGCAGCAGCAGGAAGTCTAATAGCTCATTTGAGTCTATTAAACCGAGGCCAGCATCTGACTAATGAGGCTGAAACAGAGCCTGCTATGCACCGGCCACTCTCTTTACAGTGGGCAGCTCTCCCATGCACCCAAAAGAGGAAAGAGCCATGGGTCGCCTGGCTCCGTCTCCGACACCGGCGCCAGATTGAAAGAACCACCTTTTAAAAGTTCAAAACCTGAGGTGCTGTCTTTTCTCTTTCACTGTTTATTTTATTTACTTTTTAACTTAGGGAGTTAAAGGGCCTACTGCCTCTTAAACCCTTACAATGAAACCATCAGCATGAGTCTGTGCATTTATTTACTTTTGTCAAGACCAAGGTCTGGTGATGACCGCGAGGGGTAGAGTTCCTGACCTCTCTCTGTCAGCCCTCGAGGCTCACAGGTGTGCACTGTGCAGCCTCTAGCACCCACACGAGAGGAACAAAACTGCCAGCAAGCGGCCAGGCTAGCTGTCAACTGCTCCGAGAAACACAAAGGCCCGGACTTGAAACCACAGAAGAGCTCAGAGGTGGGGAAGCTATGCACCAGCAGCAGGTTAGCACCTAAACGCATCATACTACATTTGAAATTAAATAGTTTAATCTTTTATTTCATGTGATATTTCAAGAATCTCAGCATGAGACTCCCCCCCTTTCCTGGACACTGTCCACCTCAGGCTCAGGGAACACCTGTAGCACTGGATGAAAGCAGCTTTACATGCTGGAAGGCTGATTTGGACCCCGACTAAAAGTAGGAATCTTGCCTACTGGGCACAGCTGAAAGCCTGCTGCATCCCAGGAAGATGAACAGCCATGATGAAGACAGAACGGCCTGGACAGGGGCAGCCAGGCAGCGAGGGAAGTGAAGAACAATCTTTACAGATGCCTGATGCTGGTCAGCCGTTCAACCTATCTGGTCAACACTAGCCATGAAAAAGCAAAAACCAAAAGCAGACCTAAACCACGGAGCAGGAAGAACATGTGCAATATTTCTGAGAAATGTATTGACAGAAAGGGTAGTTATTGTAATTATTGTCTTTTAGGAGTCTGACAAATTGAATAGGTATTCTGCCATGCTTCAGCTATGGTTTTTGTGTGAAACTATGACAATAAGTCACATTCTCAGGAACTTCTAGCCCTAACTCTTTTATTAAGGTAACTTTATGGTAGTCAAGTTTAAAAATTTTGATTGGAAGGGGGCTGAAAATGAAAAAAAAAAAGATTTTTAAAAAATTAGTTAAAAAGGACCTGGTCTCTGAAAATAGCAAGAATGCACATTATGTGTACTAACTTCCAATAACACATCTTAAAGTAAGATACACTATCCTGCAATACCATGTATTAATTAGATTATACTAATATGTAGTAAGGACCAGAGCTGAAAGAGAGATGATACAAATGAAGCCACTCTGGAATAAATAATATGGCTCTAAGACAGTAAATATTTAGTACATATTGTTATACTCTCTATATATTACTCTTTCATTTTTTTATGATAATAAAATATTAGGATTTTTTAAAATTGGCCACAATCCTATGAACCTTTAAAAAAAAATCCTTAAATATGTGATGTAGCTTTGTACACTAAAATCACAAGCAAGAATGGATGTTTTCCAGTTTTCAAATTGTGATCAATTACCAAACCAGAAATGTGGAGGAATTTCACAAATTCCAGAACTATATTCCAGTTCTGTTGGGATATGCCATTACAATCCCAACAGCCGCTATGACCAATGGAAAACCAGAGGAAAATTCTTTCCAGGAGAAAATTCAAGATTTGTCTTATCTTCCTCCACCTTGAGCCTGGGTGCGCAGAGGGGTCATAGTCCCAAAGTCTCTATTCCCAGGGGTACAATGTCTGCAACACGTAACTCAAACCTGGACCCTGCTGTGTCTGGACTGAGCAGGCTGCCGAGATAGAAAACAAGAGGAACCCTCGAGCAGGCAGATGGTGCTCCTAGGCCTCCTAGGGGCCTAGGAGGAGGGCTGGGGACTGTCGGGTGGGGGCCAAGCAGAGCTGAGACCACTGCACAGAGGCAGATTTATGGCTAAACTACACAAGAACTCCAGTCGTACCACCAGGAGATACCAACAGTGCTCGCATAATTCCGGAGAAATTTTTGTACTCAAGCAGGACTCTCTTCATTGCCCAAGGCAAATCGTTCAGACCGAAAGACAAGAGCCAGCTGAATAAAAGGGTCACCATCACAGTACCTACTAGGTTTCCTTTACTAGGAAAAGTGAGGAGAGAGTTTCAATCATTAAGGAAACAAGTCTCAGAGTTAAGTCTGGATACTGTCAGAGAACATGGGTCAACATGTCTCTTGTACAGCACATGAGACTTCGGGCAAATTGCTTATACTTTCTGCATTTTATTTGCCTGTTTGGAACTTGAGGATAAATATAACCGCTCCACCTATCTCATAGATTGAGAATCAAGTGTGGAAATAGATGTGAAACCACCTGAGAAAGCGTCAAAGGCAACATAGTGCTATTATTAACTTTGAGCCAGAAAGCTAATTTTGTGTACTGTGACATCA